GTTGAGGATGGCCATTCACAGCTGTCACACTGCAAAAAGAAGAGCTTTTCAATGAGTTCACTGACGCAAATTGGCTAATAGGGGTGTCTGAGTCTAAAAGCACTCTTTTGTATGATTCTGTGATTCTGATGATTCCCTATGATTCTGTGATTCTGCAGCTGAGAATTTGCTCCATCAGTGTTATTGCGTTCTTTGTATCTTTTGTTGTGTCCATGGAAATAAATAGGAGGCATTACTTTGGAACAACCAGAGTATATACAAACCTTTTTCTAACTAATATTTTGGTCACACTTTGATTTTTTTCAAGTAAAAAGGGCAATCTATGTGTGACTAGCTTCTTCTGTAAATTGTACTTTGCTTACATTCAGAGTCAAGGAAAAAACAAAAAACAAAAAACAAAAAAAACCCAGCTCTTCATGCCCTGTTTGGAAAGTATAGGAAGCAGAGGAATGGGGATGGTGGTAAATATTATGCTACAACACTTTTTTGTTGGTGCATGTTTAATTTCCTTTTTTTTTTTTTTTTTTGGTTCATTTCTTATTCGCTTTTTCATTTTTTTTTCTATTTTGATTTTCTAATTCTCTTTTTCTCTTCATTTTCCATCCATTTTGCCTTAATATCTTTTTCTAAATATTTCTGTGCACTGTTCTCCCTATTACAAAATGCATATTCCTTTTACTTTTCACCTGCCTCCACTCCAAGAAACTTAACAGGCTTTTTCCAGTAGCTGAGGCTTCTCTTGTCATCCTAATACAATTCTAAAGGATCTACCACGTGGAAGGCTCAAACTGGCAACAAGGCTCTCATGACTGTAATAGTCTGACAGAAAGGGAAGACGTTATTTAAGGAAGAAGATACTTGAATATTACTTACTTATTTATAATGGGGTTAGTTCATGCATGGGAAGGTTTAAAACGTAGCTAATGGCATGTGTCTCTGCATTTCTCTATCTCTGGGAATTCAACAATGATGGTTCTGAAGCTAAGAATGGAACTCCCTAATACACTGACTCTTGAGAATTTTGCCTTTTAGAAGTGAGGATAGGTTGGAATACTGACTGATCAGCATTGACTCTGTCTTGAAAATATTTACATTTTTTTCCTTTTTAAATCTTTTTTGAGCCCAAGAAGTATTAATTGAGACCCTATGATATGCAAAGTATACGTGTTGTAATCTGTCAATAATATAAACACTTTTGTACCATATTAGTTGTATATGTGGGTTTTCTCAACCTGGATGTAAGGGTGCCATGTTGACCTAAGCCTCTTTGATTTCCTTCAGCCACAAGAGGGCTATCTAATGGTGCAGCAATTCCAGTATTTGGGATGGGCTTCTCACAGAGATGTACCAGCCTCCAAGAGATCCTTCTTGAAATTAATCCTCCAGGTTGAAAAATGGCAGGAGGAATGTGAAGAAGGGGAGGGCCGGACCATCATTCATTGTCTGTGAGTGATTCTGAGAAACTCAGTAACGGCTCTTCAAACAAATATATATAAATTACTCCTTTTTTTTTCATGTTCAAGTGGGATTCTAATGGGTATGTTCCTATGGATATCTTTGTCGCTTAAAAAAGAAAAAAAGAAAGAAAATGTATCCCTGGTACTGCAGGCCAACCTTTGGTCAACTTTCAGGTTTGGTTAACTTTCAGGTTTGTTTCAGGTCGAGGTACCATGAGTATTTTTTTTTTATGATCCTAATTGATACTGTGTATTGTCTTCTGTACCTGATAGCATGTTTTTCAAGTGCAAAATATGTACAGATGAATTTCTGCAGTTCAGTTTAAGTTTTGACAAATAACATAGTATTTTATACTGAGTGACAAAGGTCATCTTTTTTGTGTACCTCTGGCTTGTCTTGTGTTCTTTTTTATTCCAGAAGGCCTAGATCTAGAAAAAAATTCTATAGTGTGATCCTAAAAATATTGCTAATACTGACATTTTAAGAAAAAAAAAAAAAAAAAAAAAAAAAGAACACTTGCTCTGTTCCTTAAAAGTATTAGCAATAAAAATTCCTGTTAAATAGGATTTGTTAAAAAGACATTTTAAAAACGCAGTATCTTTTTCTCCCAATCTCTTTCCTTTATATGTATCTTTAAGTAAAAAAATTAAATCTTAAAAGTAAATCACAAATTTCTCCTTTACAAGAGAAAAAAAGTTTCTGCATAAATGTTTGGAATTACCTTGTGGCCACTTTCCACCCACTCATCCTTGTATCCATGGACCATTGTGGCTTATTTATACTTGGCAAGAAAAAGCACCTATCCAACTTTCTTTAAAGTGAAGATTAACATAGTTCAGAAGTATCCATAAAGGTCAACAAAATACCTAATCAGTGGTGCCTTGGCATTGCTCTAGCTGATAATCCCCATATTCTAAAATAAGTCAAATGAGCCTCTTTCCAGAACTAAACAGAAAGTATTGTACTTGCCATTGAATTTGCTTTCTAATTTTAAATGCAAATTGAGCTATAACACAGCTGGATGGCATGGTAGTCTGCAAAGACAGAGTTCAAAAGAAGTTATTGAGAACAAGGTCAGAAACACAAAATGTCTCAGACCAAACCAAACCCATTGGAGCTGCAAGATGATTGCCAAAACTTTGTCTCTTTGCGGAAGTCACAAGTCACTTATGCTTACAGAAGCATGCACTGGGTGCCCTGTTTTGCTATAGTGACATTTAATCAGCTCTTCTCCTTATGTACAGAAATGGTGGTGGCCGGAGTGGGATGTTCTGTGCCATTGGCATTGTGGTTGAGATGGTAAAAAGGCAGAATGTGGTTGATGTTTTCCATGCTGTGAAGACTTTGAGGAACAGTAAACCCAACATGGTAGAAACTCCGGTAAGCAAAAAAAGCCCAACAGAATTACTACAAATGGCCAGGGAGCCAGAGACTTGTCTTCTGTGAGCTGCATGCAGTGTTGTGTCCATAAATCAAAGCAACCCTGTGTGGGACTTGAGCTAAGAGAAGGTGACTTGTCTTTACACCCCCTTATTGTAGTACATATTGAGCAGAGGCTGATCTAATTCTTAGTGTGAGCATAAAGTTCAGAAACATAACAACTTATGGTGGAAATTTATTGTGTGTACACGTTAGTCAGCATCATGAGAGGCCAGGCTAAGTTTTTATGCTAGTTATCTTTTAGTGATACTGTTACTTTCACAGGACATTCTCATTTAACAGGCTTATCTTTAATTTCTCAAAAGAACCTGGACTATTAGAGTAGAAGTTGTGGCACACTGCACTCACAGAAGCCATCCTGAAATTTCACAGAGCAAGGCATTTCTTCTTAGTAGGAAGAAGCTGTAAAGGAGATCCATATATTTTACTTCTTTATAATAACTGCTGTTTTGGAAGCTATATTGAATAATGCTAGTGTTTGTTACTCTACCTTTAGTAGTCAGAAATGATACCTCAGCACTTAAAAATCAAAGACTATGGGATCTAGTATGGAAATACATAAACAACATAAGCCTGAATTAGCAAAGCCACAAGATGAAACCAAGTATTTGTATGTACATTGGCAGAACTCAAAATGACCTTCACTCTTCTGAATGTGTTTGTATACATGAATGCATATCTGTCTGTCTAATCACTTCAGTCACCAAAACTGAACATCATGGAAAGTGCTTAAAAATTCCTCTGTCTTCCAAATGCATTTTTTTTCCTCCTTGTAGCTGAATGTGAAAGCAGGTTAGACAGTGCTCTGGTGCTTCTGCCATTTGACTCTCACGCTGCCAGAAGCCAGTGTCACTTTTCAGCCAGATGGCTGCCTACAGCATAAGATTCAGGGATGCCAATCGGAATTAAAAATGTTTTGCAGTTTATGCATCCTGAAAATTGCTTCTGACCTTGTGAACTTGCATATTGAGCAAAATGGCTGTAGCTGTCTTTTCCTACACTGCCCTTTTTCCAAGTGTCAGTGCTTGTTTAGTATCAAGTAGCTTCTGTGGCACGATTTGCTTAATTAATGTGTATCACTTCCATCCATTGCTACTGCATAAATTAAAAAATGGTTAACATGTTAACAACTAGAACATATTGCAGCAGCACTAACATTGGTCTAGGTATTGCTTGTTTTGCTGCAAATACTTTACAATCTGCTGCGCTATAGACTTCTGAGATGCAACATATTGAATTGCTGCCTTGATTTCAGTTCACTGCTGTGAGGAAAACTGGTCTGATCACATGGAAAATTACTTGTGTCACTGTAAAGGGAGGCCAAGGTAGATTGTCTTTTTCTGATAAATAGTCTGAAAACTTATATTTAATTTCAAAATAGTCCTGAATTCCAGTGCAGTTTTCATTTGCAGATATTGAATTTCTGTAGTTATGTATTGCTGTGCTTTGTAGGTTTTTATTCAGAACTCTTGAACAGCAGCAGCTGTTGAGTCATTAGTTAGAAAACAAACCAGGAAAACCAATATACAACATTGTCATGTGCCCTACATTCAACAGCATGATCAGATAACACAAAAAAGCAGCACAATAAAACCTTTAAGATATCCCTACCATTTCCTGCTAATTGATCACACTGGCTTATTTTGAACCAAAAATGAATCACAAAAGCAGGTTTGTTTTGTTTGGTGGTAAGGACAATAGGGATTGAGTTCATTTCTTGTTTTTAATTCTCACTGCTTTCTCCTCTCTCCTTTCTCCTCCCTTTCCCCGAGTACCAGCTCTGAACAGCAGGGTTGTTGTAGGAAATACTAAGTATGTTGAACCTTTGAGCTCTAACTTCTCTTTTAAATGTGCATTCTCATATCCTGGGCATTACATCAGAGCTATTGAAAAAACACTGACCCAGGGCAGCATAGTGTCATAGTTCAGTATTCTCTATATTGCTGTCCAAGCAGTAGTTACCTGCTGAACATCAGCTAACTTACATGTACATGGTGTTTCAGAGTTGAGCAGCTTCACTGCAAAAATGTTCTGGCTGATAGGAGAGATTCTCATGTTTGATAACCGGTTCAAAAGCTGAAAAAATTGGAGAAGTAAATCACTGCATTTCATGGTCAGGTTTATTTTTTATATTTTGTTGGTTATGGTTTGTTTATAAGTCAGAGCTGATAATACACTTGTGTAATAGAGGGGTGAAAGAAGAAAAGTGAAAAGAGGAAAAAAAAAAAAGAAAACCAACCCAAGTGTGTCAGTCTTGAATTTAAAATTGTTTAGTAGTCAGAAAAGGCTATTCTTGTTTGTAGTCATTGCTGCTGTTTAATGATTTAGAACGTCAATTTAACTTTATTACTTTTTTCCCTTTCTCCCTTAAAGGAGCAGTATCGCTTCTGCTATGACGTTGCACTGGAGTATCTGGAATCCTCTTAGTTGGAATGGATGTGACAAAGTTCACCAAATATCTGAATCGCATTACGCTGTTTTGACAACAGTTCTTGATCCTGTGAAGAAAGATTTTAGGGGAAGAGGGGGGAGGGGGGATTTTAAATTTTAAATGCAAAGTATTTTTCTTATGAAGTTGTGTATCTTAATAAAAGAATTCAATCTGTTTCTATGCTTGTATACAGTATCAACATTTAGTGCCACATAAATACTATTTAATGAAAACCAGAGTCAGAAGAGATTTGCGCAAATTAGGACTTTTCAGTGTTTGTAAATGCAGCCGTCTCTCAATTACAGTAGAGCGACCATCTGTTGCATGTATCGATATTTCCTATATGGTATTAATTTTCTTTTTTTTTTTTCCTTTTGATACATTGTTAAAGTACAATAACAGTGCAGATTGATAGTAAGGTTCATTCTTTATACGTTTCAAGTGTTGCATATATATATTATATATAGTTAAAAAAAAAAAAAAACTGGCTTATTTTGTTTTAATGTGCAATGATGGTTGGATCACATAAAGATCTTTATAAAGAAACTTAAACATAAGCCAAAGACTCAAGTGTAAATATGTCTATATGGAGAAAGCACATGTATTTATTGTTTACTTGCATTCCTTTTTTGATGGCTGAAAAAAAAAAAAGAATCATTTTTCTTGAAGAAAGCTTTTTTTGCTGAAATCAAGTGTAAACAATTTTTGTAGTTTATTTTTTGTATGTTTAGTGTAAGTAGAAGACATACTTTTTATGCATAGACCAAGAAACATTGGTATAGTGGTTTTGTTGTGTACATGCTTGTGAATCAGATCAGATCCATGTAAACAATTATAGAGGGTCTTTAACCACAGGACCAAAATCAAAACATTTTGCTGAAAATGTATAGTTTTTCACATTTGCATTAGTTAAATACTGATTAAAATCTGTGGAAGGAAGGGCGCTCATCAAATTGACTTTGCCTATGACTTGCACATCATTGGAAGAAATTTTTAAGCACCGTTAGAGTTCTAAGGGATCCAATTGTTAAGAAAGATACTGAAGCACAGATCTACAGGAGAACTGTCAGGCAAATAGATGGTTCTACAAATGCCCTTTAGTGCAAAAAGCATTTGTTTAACAAATTGTAAAAATAAGTAATGTTTATTTTGATGTTTACGAACATGTACGCTTTGCTTCTGAGAAAGCAAAATTTGAATAAACCAAATCCAGATTCTCATTACTTGTGGTGTACAAAATATTACTGTGCTTTTGCTTAGCATGTATCCATTTGTTCAAAAGCTTTCCTATATCTCATCAGTTAAAGTCATTTCAGTCTCTTGTTGGTCTTTTTTAGAACTGATAGTAAAATGATAAGGTGCTTATAAATATTCTGTAAAGTAAGAGTGAATTAAACTTTTATTTAAAGATTATTTTTTTATTTTTTCCTATTTTAGCAAGCTCTCACTGTCCTTGTTAAGGAGTTGTATTTGTGTGAAGATTATATTTGGATAAAGAATAACTCAGAAAGAAATTGTGTTATTTTTCACTTCAGCATTTCAGGGAGTGTTTGAAAAGACTCTATATCATATGCATGAAAACCAGTGCATTAAAGTTTCTTTCTTTACTTCAGGAACATGGAATTACCCTTCTAAAACTATGGCAGAGAAATGTTTATAGGAATTTTTTTCTACTGTTTTTTCAAAGCTCCTCTCTGTATTGTTTAGATCTCTAGTTCCAGATCTTTAAAAAAATCATTTTCTTTTGTTGTGCAATGGTAGTTCCTGCCTATGAAAAGTAAGCAAAATGGGTTTGAAAAAGTTCAGTGAGTCTTGGTACTCAAAATTACTCAATTTTTTGCCGTATTGGAAAGAGAATTTTAGTCTTCATGGAATGGAATGATAATGTTCTCAACTTTATCTGTAAGGCCATGGCATCTCAAAATGCTTGATCCAGCTCTCTGCTCTTCCTCTTCTGTGGGGACAATGCAGCTTCTCCGCAGATGGATTCATCCTGCATGTTTTAGGCATTTAATGGGGTTAAGTGAACTGGATTCTGGAAGAACCCTCCTCCTTATCCTTAAAGATTTCTGAGAAAACTATATTACTCTAGAAGTCTAGATTAATATTTTTGACAGATGAGATGAGCTGCTTTTAGGGCTGTGGAATGCAGAAACCAAATTCCATACTGATGGCAGTGATTTTCTTTATTTTTTCTCTCCAGACCAAAAATGTAGCATTAGGCTGAATGAATAGTTAACTTTCATAGAGAGCTCCTACATGAGGGATCATAGGGTCAGTCCTCACTAGAAGTGCAAACTGCTCCCTAAGCAATTTCCAAGGTGCACCAAGCATGATTGGTGTGTGTACAAACCTGAAGCTGGGCTTTGCAGCATACTTGAGCAGAATGGTGCCTGCATGGGAAGGACCAGCTACAAGGTATTTCAGCTGATTGTTCTGCAAATGAGTACTCTGTCTATGTTATTTAAGTATTATGGGAGTGAGTGTAATTTCTGACTAACTACATACCTGATCTAAGGAACTTTGCAATAGCTCATGAAAAACCTGCAGGAAGTTCTTGCTTGTAAGGCTAGGGAAAAGTAAGCAGAGGGAATGCAGAGTGTGAAAAGCACCTCAGAAAAACCATTCACCAGTAGGGATTTATGTACCTTGGGGGCTTCTTAAGCAGATTGCAACGTTATGTAGAATCACCCATTTCACACAGATTCAGAGACAATTGGTACTATTTTTACATTGAAAGTAAACATGAAGCTTTAATCTTAGCGTGCTCAGTATACGCAAGCAGTTACCTCTATTTGTTTCATTCAAGAGGTCACTCAGAAAATAGTTATGTAGTCTAAGTAAGTCCTTGTGTCACCAAGGTGCCAGATTAACATCCGAGAAATAAGAAAGTAAACGCTGCTGTGGGAGTATGATATTTCAATTCCAAAATCCAAGATCTGAAAATGCCAACAAAGGAAGCAATGGAAGGCAAGAGCTATGTCACTGAGCCTACAAAGTGAATTGGTGTGTTGAAGGACAAGAAAAGGGCAGTCTGAGAAAAATTGTTGCAGACTCATTGCGTGGCCAGGCCACCTGGACCGACAAATGACCACATAAAAGGCCTTTTTTAAGGTTCATTCTGCTGCTTTGTCAGAGGAAACCCAGAGATCTTGCAATAAATGTAAAAGCTGCTTTTATAGTGCTCTGTTCTGTGCTGAAAAGTAGCTCATTTTCTGCTTTACTTTCCCGTGTCACGTAGAGGTCTGAACTGAGTTAAGTGATCCTAATCTCACAAAGGAGCTTTTGTGGTGTTTTATTGCTGGTGCTCTTCCTTTGTTAAACAGACAAAGGTCTCTAACCTCTGTAGATCCAGGATTGTCGAGGACAGCTGTGAATATTCACTTATATCTTTACCTCTGGACTTGAATATCTGTTAGCAACAGCTCTGTATACAGAGGGTGGCTTTCAGAACATATAAAGGTTTTGTGTCTTAAGTTTGCCTTTAGATAAATGCAGCAAAACGTTGTATTTATGATTTCTTTTAATTAGAACGTCCTTTCAAACAGACTGGCAATGTAGAAGTGTTTCTGAATTATTTTTAAAATTGTGTAAAAGTTGGTGATAGTTGACAGACGTGTTAGTTTGCCCCACTTTTCTCAGAAATTAATCTGTTCCCATGCTACTGGGTTTAGATTCCTAATTCTGCAAAGATTGACATGTACGATGACAGGCATAATAGGATCCTTACCTAATAATAATGTTTATTAACTGTGTCTTGAACAGCAAAGAACAGGTGCTTTTGTGCCATGTTGAGATGCAAAAGCTGATTTCTGTAGACATTCGTAACCCTTTCTGGCTTCCATCTGGATCAGAAAACAGTTCTGTGTTGACAAATTATATCAAGATAAATTTGAAAACCCCATATGCTCAGAGATTTTTCACATCTCCACTAAATAAGCAGAAGAAAAAAAGAAAAACAAACAAACAAACAAACAAACAAAAAAAAAACAGTGACAAAGCCCATCTTCTGAACCTGGAGCCAAAACATGATATTTTCCTGCAGGTATTGGAATATCCTGGAGTTCTCTGGTAATGAGCGTGAGATGGTATCTGGCAAAACTCAGTAACTCCAGATTTTGATGTATGCACTTTTGTGCCAAATTCAAAGCAGTGTGTGGTCTCATGGTAGAAAACTTTGATCTTTCATTTCTGAGCCTGACCATTTGTAGAGCAGGAACTGAAGTGACAGAATATTTTTTCCAAGTCCTGAAACTTTGAGGAAAGTTACTGTCTGTTTGCACTCCAATAGCGAATGTGAAAATTGGAGATTATAGTTGTAGTAGTTATATAGTTAGATCTATAAGTTTCTCTCCTGGTAAGCAGATTGAGTTGTTTTCTGTAGCAACTGTGAGAAACACACTCAAGATCAAAAATTTCTATTCGGGCAAAGATCTCTGTGAAAAGCAGTTTATTCATTATTGCAATAATGGGCGCACAGGCCCTACTGACAAGGGAGAAATTGTGCTATTAGTCAGTGAAATCCATTCCGTTATATACCCGGGTCCAACACAGGTAAAGTCTCTCCTTGCACTCACTGGTTGAGCATTTCAGGCTTACAGTCTTCCAATGCTGTTGCTACCTTATGATTCCATACACTGTCTGTTACCAATCCATTGTCTTTATGTTCTGTATTTTTTACAGCGACAGGAGCACACTATTTTAAACAATCTGCACACTAGTTCTGTTCTGTACTGGACTCTCCCCTACACTATGTAATTACTTTACCTAGTGCCTGTGCCAATTTTACCTAGGTCGGAACGCCCCAGTCTCAACTTTACTCTGTTCAGCAACTTTCTTTGTGAAAGGGCAACTTATCCTATGCTACATACAGAAATACTGAAAATTTCCACTGCGAAAACGTGATCTACCTTTCACACAACCACAAAGCCTAATTAAGATAAGCTTCAGAAAAGTTTTGAAAGATGCTTATTGTGCTAAAAATTGTTCTTATGGACCTCACTCCCAATAGGTGAAATCCAGTTCATTTGCAGTCAAGGACATACGGGTAAAAGTCTTGTTAGCCAGGTTTCATTAAGCATTTCTGATCCACCTGCTGTATCAAAAGTAGGCAAAATATGCATCCAGACCATCCAGACAAACAGTCAGAATGATCTGCAGCACAGACTCAGGTGCTGTAGCTCTTTTCTCCAGTTTCAGGATGGAGTTGTTACGAAACTTGCTGATGGTACAGAATAGCAACACAAAATTGCCTCCATTTACTGAAAGTGCTTGAAACCACCTGCTGAAATGGTATATGCATTCATTTTGAGTTAGGTAGAAATCACTTAGACTTAGGAAGCTGTGGCACTGCTGCAACCTTTTCTGTTGCACAACATTGTATCATTGAAGCTTCAGTCAACGCAGTTTAAACTGTTAAACAGGTTAGTGCTTAGCTTCATCTTCTCAAATGATCAAGGTTTCCAGCTTACCTTGCATTAAGAAATACGGCAGTGTTTCAGCAGCACTTCCACAGGTCAGACAACTTCAGGGATGAGGATAAAAGTGGAGCATAAAAGCACAAGGTACTGTATAGGTTCATCTAATATTTCTCCTCCAGCAAGATGAGCTAGTTCAGCTAGTGTGACAGTGAGCTGTAATTACAGCTGAGAGAAAATAGCTGTGTGGTTTTGTCTGCAGTAAAGGCTTTTAATATATATATATATATAAAAAATCTTTCTTTTTTTTTTTTTTTTTTTTTTTTTTTTAAAGCAGTGTAGAAGTGCAGGCTTTGTTTCTACTTCAGCATGCCTTCCTTTCAGGTATTTGTTTGCTTCAAACAATAGTCTCACTTAATGCAAACCTTTTCTAAGATGATAGTCCTTCAAGTCATAGCCCATAGCACTCACTGTGCTCAAAACACAAGTAAGCTGCACAGATATGATAGATAGATGCTATATTGCTTTTAAGGAGGAACTGCAATCCTTTTTCATAAGGGAAGTTGTAGCCTTTGTGAAAGAGCAACCTGTGAACTGTCTGGGGCCAGCAAGAGGATAGGAACCTTGTTCTCCAGTTGTTTGAGCAGCAGCATAGGTGTAGATGTAGCATAGACAGGATGAAGAGTATAAGAACTGAGACAAAATGGGGACTTCCCCAAAAGGCTGCAGATAGGAAATGGAAGAATAGAAGTTCTGAACTCCTCAGTCAGTGAAGAATTTTCAGATTCTGAGTGTGTGTTGTGGCTGTGATCAAGCAAGGTTGAACATATGATATGTGTCACTGGGGATTAAAGATTCTGAATAAGGGACAATACCAAGAAAAGGAAAGTGCAGTTTTTGTGAGCAGCTACTTTAGTAAGTAAAGGAGAGATCAAAGTATGTGTCATGAAAGAAAAAAGCCCCCCTAGATGGGCTTAGAAGAGGCAAGAGACTTGAGGAGCAGTTTGTACAGATCATTTCATGGTTAATGACTCCACTTGGTATTAGGACTCAGGCAGTTAACAGCCTTGAAACCCACAAGGTGCAATGTTTGTGCTACCATAGTTCTCGTCGTTCATCAAGAAAATGAGGAGAAACTACTTTATGATGCTGTGATCATTCAGATAATCTATATCTTAGTTTTCAGGACAAGGAACAGATGAAAAGTAAATTTGACAATAAGTTACAGCTCAGGCATGATTCCACAGCATGATCAGCTCCTAGTTTACTCTTAATCAAGACCCAAATGTGGTCAAACAGTGGATGTGAGCACAGTAAGCAATATGTACTGTGTTTCAGTAGTGGCAACAGCGATGTGAAAGATAAACCATGTTCTGGATGGCCACGCAGACTTTTAAGAGTGCAGCATGCAGGTTCTTGTTCACGGTTGGCAAAAATGCATAGCTATCAGTGGTGACCATGTTGAAAAATAGTGTTTTGTAGCTGGGTTTTCTCTATCTAATAGTGTTGTTGTGTTCTTTGTATCTGCTGTAGTTTCCAGGGGAATAAATCACTTTCAGAGCAATCTACATAATTTTAGTTCTGTTTTGTTCTCCCTTTCTTTGAAAAAGAAAATGTAAACTGAGAAAATTAAACAGAACTCAAGACTGTGGGTGAGAGAGGAAGCAATATGGGAGAGCCTGCTGAGGCACAGCTACTTGACCATGGCCTCAGAGGAGCCATCATAAAGGACAGTTTCAGAGAGACGAGGAATTCTGAGTGTCTTGAAAACAAACACCAGTTTGGTAAATGGAATAGCTTCAGAGTCCTACGCCATTCAGTGCCCATCATAGGGCAGGTTGGATGAACAAAGGGATCTGCTTACCTGCTGGTTTCAAGAAGATGTACAGAATCCTCAACTGTGAAAGACAGAAATTGGCAAATTTTCTCTGGAATAATTGTTCAACCTTTGGGCTAATTTTTGGTGAAACTCTGTTTGCTTTGATTTTTTTTAATTCTCCTATGAAGAGTTCAAGTGTTTGGATTGGATGCTTTTTTACCGTCTTTCTCTCATACGATATATCTTCCTTGAAAATCTTGTCTTTGACTATACTGATTTTTGTAGATGAGTGGAGAATGGATTGCAGAAAAGAAATGAGCAGAATATGTTATTCTGTTGTTGTAAAATGGGCTTTGGTGTAAATGACAGCTTTCCAGATTTCATCCTTTAGATTTGGGAAGTCTGTTTGGATTTATTTGTTAACATGAACAAACAAGCACATTTATAAATACATTCTTCAGAGAGATGTGAAGGGAGATGTAGTCTTTCAAATTTTTTCAAAATGAATCTATCTATTTATGCCTTAGAACTCGTAATGTGGTCAGCACCAGAAGGTCTGGGATGCTGTAAGGCCCTACAGGCTCTCTGCACCCTCTGGCTCAGAGTCCCTAGCATTATGGTGAGGAGAAGGATCCAACTGTTGTGCTGTATGCTTTACCCAGGAGAACATGTGCTAGGAACACATTGAAGGAGATACCCAAGGGTCACAAATGCTCTTGGATGCCAAACAAATGTAGATGTAACAAACTGAAAGCAAGATAAAGGCTGGCAGAAAGACTTAAAGTCCAAAGTGAGAACCCCAGGATGTTTCCTTACAGACCTTTTGAAATTTTGGATAATTTAAAGGTAATTTGTGGAGAAGTATAATGCGAGAGGGCTTTGGTAGGGTTATAATATATGTTTATATTGCACTCTTGCCTATAACAAGAAATGGATGTAGTATATGCTTCTCAGTAAATTACCACAATACATAAGAAGCAATGAGATTTGTTTAATTTTGGAAAGCAGAAAAGATGGGTGAGAAAATTATGAAGAATCCGGACTGATTATTTTAATAGGAAAAGGCTAAAACATGAGAGAAGTTAGAGAAGTTCTTCAGAAAAGCTACAATAAATATGGTCCAGGGATTCTTCAAGAAAAAAATAAATATATTTTACAGTCTTTTTATACTGTGTCCTGGTGAAGAGCCTCTGTGCTCTTTCCTTCTCCATAGCTGGAAAGGCAGTCTCATTGAACCATTCAGGAAGGAAGTACATTTATTTTGCAGCTCTAAAAGCTTAATTTTTTTTGCACTGGGAAGCATGCTGTGTTAGTGCTCTTCCTGTTTGCTGTTATCTGCCACAAATATGAGGGTTTAGGGAGAGATGCTGGCTAGCAGCCATCGAGAGCATTCCCCTCTTGTGTGAGGTAGAGAACTGAATGTGTGCCATCACTGAGGAATTTAGGGTGCTTTTGGTGATGGCTCTGATTATGTTAATGGTACCAGACAGTCAGGAGAAGACAACACTCTGCTCTTGGGAAGGGAGAAATAGGTCTGTAGGAGGAAAATAGGGGAGCACTTTTTTCTGCTTGGTGTAAAGCAAATATATGTTGTTTATGCTGGACCCAGATTTTTTTTTAATGTTTTTGTGTGTGTGTGTGTACTTTATTCCCTCTCTCTTTTTTTTTTTTTCTTTCAGAACTAGTACATATTTAACTGCACTCTTACCTGAAAGCAGAAAACTTTATGATAGATAAGTAAAAAAAGCAAACATATGACACAAACAACAGAATTATTGTATTTGTGTCTATGCCAAAATACAGACATATCCTGGACTCCAACCCTACTGCCCCCGGGGATGAGGAGTGGTGAGAGGAGACAGAGAACTCCCTGGGTGCTCTCTTATCCCAAGGGCTAAAACTCTGGCAGGTGCCAGCCTGAGAGCCTGGCTGCCTCTTCCAATAAAATCACCCTCTGGCTTTTCTTTATCAAAAACCTTAGTTTTCCCACAGTACTCTTGAGCTTCTTAAAATGCCTTTGCCTACGTTTCATTCTCCTATATATTTCAAAACTATAATGATAATAATGATAATAAATTAAGGAAAGAAAAATAAAGAGATCCACCAATTACTGAACCTTTATACTACCTCTTCTTAAGAAGGAACAAAGGACATCTGGAAGAGGGCCACTGATGCAGAACAGTTAAGCAGCAAACACAACTTATCTTTCACATGTTAAAATAATAATGATAGCCAAAATGCCTTGCGGCAGTAAGTGCCTTGAAAAAAGTAGAAAATTAGAATCAGTTTAGCTGATATGATGGCAAGTGTTAACTGCATTTTATATGGAGTCTTGATTCTTTGATGAACACCCAATTTTGCTGCAGAAACAATTTGCTCTTAGACTCAACTTCATAAACAGAGCGGAAGTAATTGCAATTAAGATTGTTCTCCAACTTTCTGAAGCTGTTTCCAAAATCAGGCCAATAAAATTGAGTGCTTGGCAGACTGTGTCTGCGTACCTTTTTCAGAAGTGTTTCTATTAGTGGTTAAAAAAAAAAAAAAGAAAGAAAGAAAAAGAAATGCTTGTTGTTCTAGGTATTTTAGAGTAGCAGCTGATATTTCTGTTCCAGTAAAAATGGGCAAACACATTCAGTTCCATCACTTTATCGTTAATTTCAAAGTAACACGACAAGCATGTAATTTAAGATATATATTAAGTAAGACCAAAAATGCAAGGTAACCATTATTAAAACAGATGTTTTTTTGCTTTCTTTTCACATCTATGTAGACTAAACTCTGGATTCTAAAGCTCACATAAAAAGGAGTTGGTAGCGCTCTTTCTTCCTGTTATGTAGACATTAGAGAGGCGAGGAGGGTGAGGTGCCAGTTTTCATTCTAGCTCTGTTAAGCTCTCTGCTGTCAGAGAAAGTCAAACTGTTTTCTTTCTTGTCTGTAAAAAAATTGTCAGTTGATAGGTGAAACTTCAGGAATAATTAGTGAAAGGAGACGTGTAAACTCCATTGGGTGAATCAATCTTTCACAAATGTATTTAAATGAATTCAATGTCCTTTTCTTTGAACAGTGGCAGGGTGCAAAAATTCTACTTTGGATTCCTTTAACAGCATCTAGAAACCTACACTGCCTCTTTAAAAATAAATTACTACACACCTCACTCAAGGAATCACAAAGGGAGAGAGTGATATTTAAAATTAATTCAAAAAATTTCTCCAACATGTCTCCAGCTGTCAAAAATGCATTGAAGATATGCCAAACATATTTCAAAACACTTTTTGTAATTTGAAGGTATCTCAAGTAATTTTTCCTCCTGAAGTAAATCTTTAATGGAACTATACTTTTCCCCAAAACTGATGTCTTTTTTTTTCCTTTTTGTTTAGGCACCTTCCTTTCTTTTTCTCCACAGAAATCATCAATTTGCA